TGTGCCATGTATGTGGGTCTATTTGGTCGAGAGTTCATTCTGCCAAGGACCGAAATCGAAATGTTAGCTGCATATAGGGACTGCAACTCACAAATTTTCAGCCTTCATTGGATAAATAAAACTTTTTCGAAAGCATTATTTCTATATATCCCTTTATGGACTTTTCATGCTCTTCCTGATTTGACCAGGGCACCAATCCACGTTGACTTTCATTCTAATTTCCAGAATGCAACGGAATTCTAGGAATCCGCCATCATATGCTAGTTGAACCCTTTCCCTCGAGTATGACACTGGAATTCATTCATTTCATATATCTTTATCGCCTTGATCAGGTCATAAGCGTCCAAATATTTCAAACAGCTGAACTTCATTTTTCAACGACATGTACCAAGCAAGAATGTAGATCAAATGTATATTTCGGTTTCGGCATATGGCTCTAATATTTGTTCATTCAATTGACATGAAAGTTGGTCACCATTAGAATGCCGATCTTCCTTCACTTTAAAGACCGCCATTTCGGCTCACTTATTTTTATGAAGTTGATGGTGCGCTGCTGATCTTCGTTTCTTCGCGGTTACCAGAAGTGCCTTGTTTCTTAAAGGCAGAGGCTACAGTCATATGGCAAGCGTAGCATGTAATCACTTGTTTACTTATACAAAGTGGTACTCATTTATCAGACTCGGAATTAAGATAGGTAAGTGACGTCGACCGAGTCTCGAACCTATCGATTCTGAGGTGTACGCTCTACTGACTGAGCAACCCCGATCTGAAGCAATGTATGACAAATTGTTTGCTCAGTGAAATTCGTCAATGAGACGAAAATTGCCCTGGAGCGGAATCGAACCTGGTGTCTGTCGGACAACTGTGCGAACACACATCGTCTCTATTGACGCCGTAACAAAAGCAGTCATTAGGCAGATTGGAGCTGTGAGCAAAAACTCTCTTCAAATCACACTGTACACGATGTTTGCAGTCAGAACGTCGTTGATCGATGATGCTAGGTTCAATACTGCAATATCAGAATGGAATGCTCGGCAGAGTAGCCGGCGACTGACGTCACGTTCGTTGCGTCAGTACAGCTTACAGTACTTTTGACTTATCAATCGACCAATTTGCTGTGAGCACAACCGCCATTTTGCTGCTCACAGACCACGTCGTGAAAAAATCTGTAATCTTCCTTGTGGCAGAAAGACAACAGACCAAACGTCATACTTGGATCTGCAATAACCGAACAAGATTTGCGACAAGCTTTGAGTTGTATGAAAACGTGCAACTGAGACTCGAAGAAGTGAAGCAGAATCTGGACCGTGCCACAGCCGCGTTATGCGGTCGGTAGGCGTGTTGTTTCGTTTTCGCACGGTTGATGAGGCAATGCGATACGCTTTTAGATGCTGCACGTTTTTCACGCATCTCGGCGCCGTCTTCAAGCGCATAACGCGTTTCATCTGACTGACGGCTTGCCTGACAATCCGCAATATCAGTGGGACCACAGCTGCACCGACAGTTGTGTGCGTGCGCGAGGCTAGAAGCGAATGACGGCGTCCGCCGCGACCGACAAAGAGAGTAAACAACGGCATAATATTGCAACGGAACAGGATGATCATTTGAAGCACCTCGAAACCGTCATGGCTAGTGACCGTGAACCATTTTGCCTGAAATGAATCGGCGCATTGAACTGGCAATCGAATCAGCAAACTCTGGCAGGCCAACAATGACATGTGAAACGACCAAACCATAAAACCACAATGAAGATCACTATCCTGAAAGCAGCGCCGTTTCGGTGCTCATATACAGTCTGAAAGCACTCAAGGTCTTGAAACGCCATGGAATTCTTCACGACAACTTCAAACAACGCTGCAAGCGAACTATACGCAAAGTGAACTGGTATCACCCAGTCACAAACGTGCAGGCGTTGACGACGCCTGGCTTAGTGTGAGAGAATAAACCGAAAAGAGAAGGGAGAAACGCTAAAAATCTGGCAGGCGTGCAACTACTGGTTTAATCGTCTACAGCAGTTATTCCCTCATCAGCGAATTCGCCAAACCATCTGGATGTCTTCGGATGGAAGCCTAAACTTCAAAATGGACCGCGTCATCATCGGTCACAAATGGAACAACTCGTTACTCGACAATCACGTAAGGCGTGGCACCTGTACTGAATATTACAGCCACATGGTCGCAGCAGAACTTCGCCTCAAATCAGCCGTGTCGCATCAACACGTTCAGCCGCTCGATGTTCACATGCTTAAATAAGACGAAACGACGCCATCGGACATCCGCAAGGAGGCAGACAACTATTTTAATGCCACACCCTTTACTGTCCAGTCGAGAAGTGACAACGATGATGAAGCTTACAAAGACTTCAAAGGCGCAATTTCTTCGGGGGAAACAGTAGTTGGGCTCAGGAAGAAGATAGTCAAACTGCCATGGGTTAAGGGGGAAACTCTAACCACAGGTTGTAAACGAACTAAGCAAACTAGTAGTTTGAACACCACGTTGTTACCTCAAAAGTATACCATCGCTGTCTTGCTCGTGCAGTCTACTAAAGCTACAGACGGAACTGGGAACTATGGCTGAAGAGGGAAACAAGGAAGACTGATAAGGCAGCCGGAAAGGATGAATGCCGGCCAATACTGGAGGATAGTTCAGATCCAACCGCAAAACTAGAAGTAGAAAAGACGTTGCTACACTTCAACCGAAAGCAGACCTGCATGATGAATGGAATTCCTCCGGCAATGATAGAAAAACTCCATGCCATACTTCATCAACTGTGGATCTGAAAACGTTTCCGTAGAGAGTGGAAGTGTGCAGCAATTGGGTACTGCGGTAGGATGTCCATTATTCCAATTATCGTCGTATCCCACTACTTGCAACTCCCAGGAAAACCTTCTCCTGGATTATCCTGAAGGCTGACACAGACACTTGACGAAAAATTCCACCAAAATAAAAGGCTTCCCGATGGGAAACTCCACCGCTGACCAAATTTTCACTTCGCGTAGGATCATATGGCAATGCCAAAGATTCGAATTCCTCTCTCTGCCAGTGACTTTAATGCAGAATTACATTCACTATATCATTCCATGTGAAAAATCTTGAAATAATACGGGATACTTAGGCACATCGTTTCTATTTTGGAATAGACGTATGCAGTTGTCACATCTGCTATCAAAGTTAAAGGAGAGATATCTGAATGGATATTTCTATTAAATGTAGGGTCTGCGAGAGAGAGAGAGAGAGAGAGAGAGAGATGTGCTTACGCCAGTGCTATTCAACATTTTCTCGACTTTCTTACCTGAAATAGTAAAGACCCTGGCAAAGACGAAAGTATTATTCTGTAGGAAAGGCGCACTTCAAGATATCCAGCTGTACATCTTTCTGATCTGGAGTAACCAGACGATACTGCTCTGCAGTACTGAAAACGGGCTCTGTCACTCGATGACTTCCGTATCAAACGCAGCTGCGAAATCAGGCCTCTTCCTTAACGTCCGGTAGTCCAAAGTTATGCGGATCCCATCCGGTACTGGCGATCTACCATTGGAACGGGAAAACGAAGTGCTTCATAATGTTGACCAATTTAAGTATCTCAGCTCCATCATTTCCAACGCTGGCACTACCCAGCCACACTGAAATAAAAGGATCGCTCTAATCTTTAGCGCTTTTGGAAACCTGTGCAATACCTGAGCTGCGAAAGTACTAACTCTTTACAGAAACATCCAATGTACCTTGCCTCCGACAAATCAGTGTTGTTGCATGGCATGGAGGCAGTTGTTCTAAGGAAGCTACATGAACGAGAGTTGAACTACACGCAGCAGCGTTAGCTTCAACGCATAATGAGGGTTAAATGTCAGGGCTATGTAAGGAATAACTTTATTCTCTCGTGGGCACGTGACCTCAGTATAAATGGAGACTGAGAAATAAAATGTTGAAACGGTTAGACCAAATGGCTGAACATAAAGCCTTTACTCATGCCCATTAACTTGCCATGTGCGAGCCGAAACGCAACAGACGTCGACCAGAAAGTATGGAGGTCAACATGCAACACTGAGAAACAAAGTAGAGGCGACCTGCATTCAGCGAGAAAGATTTTCTTATACGATTCAGTAACCGGTGTTTGATAGGAAAAGTGTTGAAAAGCTGCGAATATAGCGGACATCACAAAGAACAGATGTTCTGCTCATGCAAACTAAGGCATATTTACATAAAGTAATATATTTTGTGTCATTAGGAAGAACGGGTCCCTGAAGTATCTTTGATAACAGGCAAGGTATAGCTCCATCTAATAAGCTCATGCTACAGCGTCTATGCGCTGCAAATCCTCAGCAGTAGGATAAAGTCGTAGCCTGTATAAACGACTTCCCCACGCATTTAGGAACAATGAGTGAAGCATTCAGATCTGAAGGAGTAAGCAGCTGTGAGTTCAACAATGCTTAGAACACATTTAGTTGAAGCATAATTTTTCGAAGGTCAAATTTCAGGACGTTGCGCCACTCCCTTGTTCCAAGCTGCCCAAGGGACGTTTAGGCGGACCAATGATCCATGATATTTGAACCCTGTAATACTGAATGCATTTCACATTATTCTATTTGTTAGAGAATCTCATGCTCATCATGAGTAGTGCTTTGAAAGCTGAAGCTGTTTATGTGCTACCGCATTAACATATTTTGCTTTAATAATGCATAGCTTCATCTTTTAGTGTATGAGGTAAGCCAATGATGAGGAAGCCACTAAACCACTATTTAGTAACTTTATACTAAATAGGACAGTAGCACAAAGGAAACGATTTAAACTGGTCTGCTAGTCCTTTTCAGCTGAATAATTAGGCGAATTCGGACAGGATTATTCAACGTTCGTGCAAATATTACACGCTTCAATACGCATGCATGTACTTGATATCGTGGGTCGATTCATGAGTAAGATATGGCTTTATTCAAATTATATGCGGCGCAAAGATTTTGGTACAGAACCAAGGTCTCAGGTAATATTACCAGCCCTTCTCAACTGCAAACAATATAATATACAGAGGTGTGGTACAAGACAGACAGAAAGCAATTACAGTTTCCGCTTGCTCTATGTCTGAAGTTTACATAAGTTTCGCCATAACAGAGAAATAAATTCGCCATATCTGTTCAAGACGTTGAGTGCTGTCTGAATTAAGAGCGCTTCGGCAACAAAGTATTCTTTGTACTTGCTCACCGCTGTTACTATGGTTGGATAGCTAAAATTAACGCCGTATCTAGTGGAAATCTGGAGAAGATCCAATACCAAGCACTGTCCCGTGTCGCTTTTCTTCGGCAGTTGGGTTCGTGATGGTAGCTGCCTTATGTTATACCATCCTTATTTACAAGGGTCTGACGATTTGACCAACGCAAGACGGTTGGCACTCCTGCCAATTCTTGGAGTAAATTACACCGATCTTTTTGTCTCCAGTCAGGCGAGTTCTCATCGTCTTACTTAATGATGGCCTAGATGTTTTTTTCTTGAGCACACGTTTGATCGACTCTGAAATGACCGGAACATAAGGAATGCAGACATGGATTGTGGAGTCAGCATTCGCATTTCCGATCGATCAACGACACTGTCCCTGTTCTCTAGAGCTTTCCTGATAAGGTTCTGCAGAAACCTGTTTGTTCGTAGGACTTCTTTCACGTGATGGATTTCGCGTTGAAGATCTGTTTCTGATCTCTCCTCCTTTCGTGCGAGTGATGATCAGATTCGAACTGCAGTTTCTGATGATCCATCGTCTCCTCTACTTACTCTGCGGTCCAACAACTAAACAGACATGTCCTCTTCGACTTGCACCGTGAACTGGATCGATGAATTCACCGCATTTAGATACTGGAAGAAAACGGATAAATCGTCATTTTTCACTATCGAAATCCCTTACGCCACATGTAATGAGAATAAAATCATACCTTATACATTGGTACACGACTCATATCAATCTTCTCCTCCAATTGTTCTTTTTCTACTGTTAATCATCTTTAGCTTTTCGTCTTTATTTCCGATACTGCGTCACATTTCTTTGATTTTCTACTTTGTCTCTTCCCTCTC